ACTCTACTACACGATGAAATCTAATATTGCGTTTATGATGGTTTTACATGTAAATGATTAATAAAATTTATTAAAAAATTAATTATTTAAATTTTTATCTAACATAAATCATATAGATTTTACTTGATGCAAATAAAAAAAAGAAAGATACATTTGAAAAAGAAATAAAAGACAAATACATTGTTTCTTAGATTCAAATATTTATTTTCGTTTTACAATTCTTAATTGGTTTGCAAAGAAAGCAAAAATTAAAGAACAATAAGGAAGTTTCTTTTACATTCTTTGATTACATAAATAGTGAAATTAATTAATATTGTTATTTTGATTTTTGTCAATTAATTCGAAAAATTATTTTTGTTTATATAAAATTGAAGAGAGATAATGTGCAGATTAAGAAATAAGATTTTGTTCATGCAGAAAACTAAACATGAACAACTTATACCTGTTACAACACTCAAAATTTATATTCATCATTCAATAATTTCATTAACATGAACCTAACTATAAACAATTATTGTTCTATCCAATAAATTGATTGAACTCTAAGAAAAACAATAGAAACATACATACGCATGACAATCACAGGCATACACGTATGAACCCGATGTAAACTGTTGAATATAATAATCAATCAAGTAACAAAACATAAGTCTCAATGAATTAATAATGATGAAAAAAATATCAGTTTATTGATCATAGCGGGTTTCCGTCTTTTTATTGATTTATTTAAATGTAGTCTTTAACACCAAAATTAGCAGTATACAAGAACACGGGATTGAGTAAGACATAAATTTTCATGCCGTTTTGTATTCATTAAATTATTGAAATTAGCTTTATAACATCAGTATCCTTTAGAATAGAAGAATAATGAAAATCGGGATCAATGTCTAGTACCATCTTTTTGTATCAAATCGTGTGTTCGAGCTATATAACATTAACATAATGCGATTAAATGTCTCTGGTATATTTCTAGTACTATATATATCTGATTAATACGAAACAATCTTAAATATAAAATACAACAAAAAAAAAACAAATTACAATTATGACAAAAAAAAATGATATAGCAAACTACAAAGTGCTAATAGAGTTTCTCGGATGATCTTTTGTTGTCCGATAGGAATTTCTCTGTATGACTTTCTAAAACTTTTCACAGCACGTCTTTGAAAACACAATAAACATACTATCATTATCTTAACCTGCGATACGTAAGAAATAAAATGATCATATAAACATTTAATCATTCGAACTGCGCTTGGAAGCACCAAGATCACGTATTTTCATTTCATTTCGACTATGAACGAGACAACTAAAACCAGTCAATATAGTTTCGTTGCTAAAATTTCTGAAAAGCTTTCTACGCTACAAGCTTTGGCAGAAGAAACAATCATTTCATCATTTCTCGATACCGAGATCTTTCAACACAAACGAAACCCATAAAATCATTAGGAACGATATTTCAGAGAATTAGATACTTGGTCCCTCTAACACACACGTCTCCATAAAATACAGAACAGTCACCTTTACTGAGACGACAACCGAAAATAGTGACACAAAACGTGCTCGAACAAGAGATTTTTTGAAAATCTGATATTAGACTCCCTATTGAAACATCCTAAAATACAAAGATCACTTAAGAATTATACGAATTCTAATTTTTCAAACATACTTATTTTCTTTTATTACTGCATTCTAGACTAAAAAGTTTACCTTAACCAAACAGAGTAACAAAAACAATATTCCCATAACAAAAAAACAAGTCTCATTACCATTCAGTAAACCTTACTGAAAATTCATCTTCCACCTATATCAAATTTTAGTAGTTTGCACTTTTTTCTTTGAAAAATCACCTTTTATCAAATAGAAAGATATGCATCATGTAGAGCTTTTCGAGTTCTATCTAATTACATCAAGTAAACATATCAAGATTTTGTGTTGTTGTACATATTATTAATAGGGTGATGTAGGATATCGAGTTCGGAGTGTCTCTCAATGTTGTTTGATTTAGGTTTTCTTTTGTGTAGTAAAAATGATGTGTGTTCTATCGTTCGCCTGTGTCTTAGCCTCAGGAAATTACAGCAATTTGATTGATTTTGAAAAGATGGGCCATCGAATGCTCTTGAAAAGTCATATGAAGAAATTCGCATTGCACTTCAAAAAATCTTTCGAGTATCATTTTCTAGTTTTTTTTTTTAATGTTTGTTATTTTCGAGATTAGTTCATATTGAATAGATGTTCATATGTAAGAATTGACCTTTTCTATAGGCACATATAACGAAGTAGATTAATGTGTAGCTTGAATAAATGACTCAAAACAAAAATGTGGTGCTAGAATTTTGATATGCACTGTGTCTAAGATAACATCATTTTAATATCCATCATCTTTGCAGACTATTTAGGAAGGTTCATAAGAAGCATGTTTCGTTTAAATATAATTGTATTTTGTGAACCAACAAAATAGCTTATCTATTTGACCGTATTGTATTAAGTTTCTATTGATTTTATGGACATTTTCTTTAAAAGGGTACACTGTTTTGATGCATTTTTTTCAAATGTTTTACGAAAACGATAGATTTCAAAATAATATTATCCTTTATAATATATGACTATAGAATGTTAGTAGTTGTCTTTTTTCGATTGCTGAAAATTGCAGGTCAAAATCTATTACCGTTGTCGAGCTATGCAATTTAGACTGACTTCTCTTCTATTCCGATGCGGAAACATTAGTTAGAAAATCAATAAGTTACAAATAAATGATACCAGTAGTTTATTTTTATCATGATCATTTAGTTAGAAACAGATTTCTTCATAAAAGCCTACAAGTAAACTTTAACAAGTTGATATGATCAGTTACACATTAAAAAGAAAAAACAAATTTTAGTAAACGAAATTTCATATGAACATTTATTCTAAAAGAATTACGAATAATAAATTATATCAAGAAACACAAAACGAAAATCTAACCCAATCAATAATCACACAGGTTCATCAACAATTGTAGCATAATTAGTTTTGCCTATGATAATGTCAAAAAAACAAACATTAAATATTAATCAAATAAATTACCTGATGTTTTTTCATATTCTTCTTTTAAACATCGATAGATAAATAGATATTGATGCTAATATTACAAAAACAAAATAAGTTACTTCTTTTTTTTTAAGATTTCATTTGAAATAAATTTTACCTCGTTTTGAACCATTTTATCTCTACATTGTCTCATATTGAATATAGTTCCATAAATATCTAAATAATCATATAATGATGATTTATCAAATTGTTGTAATAAACGATCAAGTGCAATAAATGTTCCACTACGACCAACACCAGCACTACAATGAACTAATAATGGTCCATGATGTTCTGGAAAACATTCCGAACGAATTAATCGAATAAAATTAATAAGTATATCACTATTTGTTGGTATTGTATGATCATCCCACATTTTAAATGCATAATGTTTTATTAAACGAATTTCATCGTTCTAAATAATTGTGTTGAATAAATTTTATGAGATTGGAATATATTTAGTTCCAAGGTCGATTTTTTAAGGAAACTCAAACTACATGCTTTATATTAAACATATTACTCTATGTTTAAGTGAAAAAACTTAGGCATTTAGCATTTAGAGCTTGAACACAGCAGATCTCGAGACTTGTACGGATCCATTTGTGTAATGTAAGTTTGAGATATCTATAAATTAAATTTTTACCTTTTTTAATTGAATATAACGTAAATCATATGCGGTCACATTCATACATGCAGTGACGCATACGGAGATATCTCCATACATTTCAGCATTATTCGAATCCAATGGCCAATATCGTTCACATTTATTCTACAAAAAGAAAAATAATTGCATATGTTTCATTGATATCATAATGTTTACTATTTCTTTTTTTTTTTTTAAGAATAATAAAAATGTTGAATATTATCCTGTAAGATAGAACTATGGATCTGAACTGACCTGACGGATCATTCACTAGTGAAAGCAAATTAAAATAAACATGCTGACGTGCCTATTTAGTCTATTGAATAGATACGAAACAAATTTGAACTGATTGATATTTCTGACGGCTATAGAAAGCAAATATTCTGTTTTAGATTCAATTAGCTATTTAACAATAGCCGAACGTTCATTGTTTAAATGAGTATATAAAGGAGATGGCGCATCTACAGGTATCATTCATCGATTATTTATCAGCAACTTCTACATAAGAAAAGAAAATTCTTTATCAATAAAAAAAATGAACAATTGGTTTTATATGGATCGAATAACATTTGAAAATCTTCTTAATGATGAATTAGGTCCAAAACTTACGAAAAAATTATTATTACTCGATTTTGATCTTGCAATATCATTTATGATTGGTGAAACATCGAATGAAATTTTAACAAAAATTCAACAAACATTTAGTCGTAAAATATGTCGTAAAATAATTTGCGATGAACATTGTATATTATGTTCATTCAATCCATCAACTTATGCAAAATTAAGTTGGTTTGTTCAACGTCTACTTGTTATGAGTCCATTAAGTAAACCTTTTATTAAACAAATTTCATTATCAAATGAAGATTCTTCGTATATACAAGATAAAAATATTACAAATGATTATAATTCTACTGAAAAAAATTTATCGAATATTAATATAAACAAAAATACAAGAAATATATCGATAGAAGTAAATTTTTTGCATAATAATTTTATCAACATTCATTTTTTTCTTTCTATTTCAAAGAATTCAAATAATAATTGTTCAAAATGTGAAAAATTGACAATTATTATATTATTTATTCTCTTTATTTTTGGTTTTATCATTTTTCATGCTATCTTCATTTATTGAATAATTTATGTTTAACACTGATTTATTCTTTGAAATATATATAAAAAAAAAAACAAATAATCATCGCAACACCTTCTGTTATATATTGACGATAGGTGTGTGTGTACTTTATCTTGTTTCTTTATCATTTTTGTTTATTTTCAATAAATAAATTTTTCTATAACATTATTTAATCAAAATATCAGATTTTCGTTGAAAGAAAAACAAACTATGTTAAAGAAAAAACTTACCATTCCTCGTTCTACAAGTCCTGAAAGCATAATAATAATTCTAACATTTTGTTCCCATATCATTTTCCAATGGTCATTAATTGTTGATTTAAGTGGACCTTGACATGCAATATACTCTCGAGGATTATGTAATCCCTATGTGTTTTTATAAAAAAAAAAAAATCATTGAAATTAATATTGTTTGAATATTAAACTTACACTAATGAAATTAGCATTGATATATCCTGAATCACATTCATCAACAGGAATCAATTTAACACGTGAATGTTCATCTAAAAAGTTAACAAAAACAAATGAAACGTATTAAACAAAAATTTTATACAAGGTATTATATCTTTATATCGATTTTTAAATGATTGATTACATTGTGTAAATTCGGGAATTTGTTGAAGATTATTTTGAAGTTTCTAAAAATCAAATAAAGTGTTTATCATAATCAAAAATAAAAACTAACATGAAATTCATCCGATATGTTATAATAATTATTTGCAATTAATTTTTCATATTCAAATGAAAGATCTTTTATTTGAATGGGTCTAAATAATAAAAATTGTATATATATATATATAATTATTTAAATTCAATTCTTATACCTTGAAGTTAGAACATTTCTAAAATAAGAAAACAAATGACATTAAATTACATATAAAACAATAAAAATAATTTAATATGATATACTTTTTTGATTCTGTTGGTTGTGAATTTGAATATCTATTAGTAATAGAAATACTATTTTTCTCTAATTATTCATTTCAGATAGGCTTACATATTAACTTGATTAACAACATTATTCATTTTTGTTGTTGTATTTGTATTATTAATTGTTGTTATTTGTTGTTGATCTCGTTGATTCATTCGTTTTCTTATATTTTCTAAGATAGAAAAATCATTTCAATTCAAATCAATAAATCTCACCGACGATTATATCGATATGCAAAATAAAAAGCAATTAATACGATTAAAATAAGAATTAATAAAATAGCAATCACACAAGGAATAATAACAGATTGAAGACTTGATCCTTCTAATTAAATAATAAAATAAGATATTAAAATGATATATATATATATATACTTTTCGTTATTTCATTATTAATATTTGAAGTTAAATCAAGTCGAGTTTCAATAATATTTGATATAACTGTTTCCCATCCAATTTTTTTTGTTTCAACATAAATTCGATAAAATTCATTAGGTATTAAATCAGTACAAATAGTTGAATTAATAAATATTCGACGTTGTTTTAATGGTATTGTTTCACAAATTAATATAAATCGATCAAAACATCCATATGGTCGATCAAAATCAACTTGAATTTTTCTTAATATTAGTGAAAGAGAAATTAATCGAAGATTTTTAACTGATTCTAATGCTTAAACAAACAAATAAAAATAATAAATAAATCAATAATTTTTCTTTTTTTTTTTACGTGTTTGAAAATGAACATTTGTAAAATTCGAATTATTAAATTGTATATCACATTGTGATTTTGAACATAATGAATTAATATGTGTTTGATTAAATAATATATGAAATCGATATCGACAACCACATTGAAGTTGATTACAATTTAAAATTTTTTCATTTGATATACATTCTATTGAATGTAATATCGAATATGTATTTATTAATTCTGCTGCACAATATTCATTTCCTTTCCAAGTACGAATTCGTAATGGAGATGGATCTTTTTATTTAATAATAATAAAAAAAAAATATTGATCAGTATTTAAACATATAATTTTTAAACTTACTTGTATTAACAAGTTTATATACAGTTTGTTTTTTCCAAATGAAAATATTTTCAAATGAATCTCGATAAATACTTACAGATATATTATAAATTGATCCAGGAATAAGTTGATTAAATGTATTTGATATTGAACAAAATTTTAAACTATTATCAATCATTTGTTCAATACAATAAATTATTTTTATTTTTGATAAATCATATCGATTAATATTTACAATTAAAGTATTTTCAGATAATCGAATTATATTTTCAATGATTAATTTTTTAAAATCTAATGAATAAATAGAAAATTTTTAGACAAGATATTTGTTCACTTTTTTTTGGACTCAACTAGAAAAATATTTCTCATGAGTCAAATGATTTTTTTAGTTAACGAGAGAACACTTTCGACTACATAGTTTATTTTGTAAGGTAGCTTCTAATTAACAAGCTGATACAGAATTCTAATTCATAGTTTTTTGACTCGTTGAAAAATACTTTCAAATCAAGACAAAGACGAACAAACCAAAGATGGACAAAATCGCACCGCGCCTAGGCGCTACGCACATCTCTCTTTCTCTTTGCTCTGCCAATCAGTTTCTCAAACTCCACCGAATACCGGGATGCTCTAAGCATGCGCTCATCGAAGCTCAGACTAGTGTAGCGTAGGCGTGAGCAACGGCGCGAGGAGGCGCGGTGCGACTTTGTCCATCTCTGGAACAAACATCTTATCTAAATTTTGTTTGTTTTTAAGAAAGAAAACAGAAATGAAAATTTGTACCTGTTTGAATATAATAATCAGTAATTTGAATCAATGATGACCAATAAATTTTTGAAATATTAAATTCTAATTGATAAATACTTGCTTCAGTTAAATGAATGAATAAAGCAGCTTTCTGATTATTTTCTATAGGATTTTCTAATATATTTGTTTCAAGATTTCTTAATCGAACTTGAATATGAAATGGATGATTAAGCCAAGTTAATCGAACAATTGTTTCATTTAAAAATTCATGTCGAATAGAATTAATTGGTATTTCACTAAGATCTATTTACAAAACAAAAATATTTACTTTGTTTTTTTTTCTAAAACAAAATTAACTTGTTTTGATAGAACATGTTCCAGTTTTTTGACCATTATAATTTGGTAATACTTTTTTTAATTTAGCTATTATATGATATTCTCTACCTGATTCTAAATGATATTGTTTTGTTGAACAAATACTTTTTGATATATATGGATCACATGAAATAATTCCTAATTGTTTATATTCTTCGGTTAATATTGAAATTGTTAAATTTGCATAACCAGAAGCGATTAGATTTGTCCAATAAAAATCAATTTGTTGATTATTTTTGTTAAGTTCACATCGAAAATAAAAATCTTCCAATTCTTAAGAAAATATCAATTCATATATGTTTTTTTTTTTTGTTCTCTTAATGATTTCTTTCTTTTCATACCCGTATAAACAATGGTTACATCACCTGATGATACTTGATCATTATCTGTTGATACATAATAAGTTAAAACAAACCATTGAGCAGGAATTAAATTTTTAAATAAACAATGATAAAAAGGTGAATAAATTGATGAATATTCAATTGAACATGTTTGATTAACACTTGTTAATTCAGTAATTAATCTATAAAATAAACCAGGTAAGAAAAATAATGTATCAATCGATGTTGGACTATTTGTTGAATTTATATATTTTGGTTTTATTGATTCTAACAAATTTCAATATAATTAATTAACATTTCTATGAAATGAAATTTTTTTTTTCATTACCATAAAGTTCTTTTCTTGTTGATAAAGTAACATTTCGTGTACCACATAATAGATATCCATCAACTGTATAATGAACACCTGTATTATCAAAAAAAACAAAGTTTAAAATAATATTCTATTCAATAATTAATCATACCATAGGTAAAATTATCACATGTCATTAATCCATGATGTTTAGGTGGAAATAAACATCGTTTAGTTTCATTAAATGATAATGATTGAAAAATTAATGTTACATTTGATTCTCGTTTTAATGAACATGTACTATTTATTAATATGTCGACTGAATATAAATATTCTTGTTGTTCAATTCGAGATGTTCGAATAGTTAAAGATATAATGGAAAATAATAAAGGTACTAAAAAAATTAATTAAAATAATGAAAAAAAAATGAAAATGAAAATTCATCTCACCGCCTATTGCCATTCTTAGTTTATTAATAAAATATAGATAGTAGTAAAAAAAAAACAAAATACAAAAGGAATAGTTATCATTTCTCTTTCTTTATGAGATGTTTCAGAAAGATGAAACCATTTTATCAGTTATTGAAATTAGGGTAGACAATGATTGAAGAAAAACAAAATACAAAAACATTTTACCTTCAGTTATGAAGACAGTGATTGTAGAAAAAAATGATGTTATTGTATCATTTGAAGTAAAAATTTGATAATTAGGAACACTTGTGTATTCTATTGTTGATGATTCAATAGATGTTGTTGAATAAAAATTCTCTAGTGTGCTTGTTGAAATATTTCTTTCATCAATACTATCTTCATGAAGATGATAATAGGACATTGAATTTTGACAATTCCATAATAATATCTATATAGATATATAGATTATTCTTATTTTAGAATTTTTTTTTTTCTTTAACAAGCACTTACTAGTACAACAATTGGTCTATTTGACATTAACATCAAAATAAATTTTGACAATTATTATCTTTTTTTCTCTTTTTGATAAGTATGGAAAAAAAAAGAAGAACAAAAATGAGATGAAGTAAACGTTTTGCAATCACAATGCCATTTTCACTTTCTCCCATGCATATATACAGTGATTACTGTTTCTCTATGGACGCTTGACGTAATACTGATAGAGTAAAGAGAAAGAGAAATGAATACAAAAAAAAAACTCATCTCCCTCATTTTTTCAATTCATCGATGAGTTATAATAGTACCGTACGTTCTGTTTAATGCACATTAATACACACAGAGAATAAGGTAAAGATAAATTAGCAAAAGAAAACACAAGAACTAGAATTCTTTACTTATTAAATATTTATTTTATTTGTTGAATTTTATCTATTGAACATTTGATATAAATAAAATACGAATATTTTGATAAATAATTATACAAAAATCTTAACATATATATGTCAAATATTGTTGAAATGTATTAAATGAATGATGAGAAAAGCTATAATTGCCTACGGAAGTGCATGTCAAGATATGTTCATCCCTTACGTAGTTGAATATTAATATAATGAAGTACAATTATTATCAAGTTAATCATTATAGCAAACAAATTTTATTGAATAAATTATATTTCTATCGGATGAACTTCGGATATTAATTTTTATTTGTGGAAATGAGTCAATATATGAAAAAACAAAACACATGCGAAAATGAATGAATTCTAGAAAATCATTGAAAATCAAATACTCATAAATGATACGTCATCATTGATTAAAAATATAGAAAAAAGGAACCGACACTTTTAATAATGTAATATATATACTATAGAGAATTATAATATAATTAATACAGTATAAAGTTGAACATTAATAAACTTGACAAATTTTTAATCAAATTATGATCAAATATTTGCTTTATGACTAAGATATAAAGATAGATTTCAATGAACTATAATCAATCATGTACTAATATATAAACACTGACCTCGAAGAAAATCGAATTTTACGTTTACTCTTGTGTTTGATTATATAATCTTTTTTCCTTGTATAAAAAAAAGAGAAACACCTGAAAACAGGAAAAGTAATTACGTTGACAACACGATATCAATAACAATTACTCATTATGGATTTCATAATGATTTTCTATCTTATTATATTGATCAAGATAGAAGTCAAAAAAGAATAATATACATACAATACAAGTATTGCCTGATCTTGTAGCATTTGCATATTTGTACTATTATTTCAATGGCTCCATTTAGTACATATAAAATCAAACAAATTGAAAAGGGCAAACACGTTTTTTTTCATTCTTCCGAGAATTCCGTGGCTATTTAGACCATTAAGAATGGTAAAGATTTTTTGTTTGAATTTATCACGCATGTTTTTATAGTCAATGTTAATATTAATGGTTATGAAGCTAAATTTTAGCTTAAATACAAATCTTGGATTGGACGATGATTACTTCAGGAGATGGATATATAGTGATAATTTGAATAATACTTTGGCAGCAACATGCATATAAGCCAAGCGGATCCGATGGCGATATTTATGGACATGACGGATTTGCTGATGGTTTCTATTAAGTTAATATAACAGTATTGAATTCCTTGTCAAGCTTATGATGTCTAATTTTAAATGTATTATTTTAATAAAACTTAGTACATACGAAATCAAAATCTTAGAAAATCACTAGAAACACTTATTGAAAGTATTTTAGTATGATTTATGTTTTCTGAAGTTTTTTATTTTGCAACTGTTTAATTCAGATATAAAGAGTATGTTTGACAATTCAGTTGTTTTTATGAATAAAGTTCGGTTAGTTTTATTCATACTATTTTTTTTTCTTTCTATTCTATCTCCAATTTCACGTGAATAAACAAGAATAAAGAGAATCAATGGAACATTTCTATTGTAGAATGATTATTATATTGATTAGAACAACTAATCTATCAAATATATTAATTATTTAAGCTTCATTAAAATAACGAGATGATCGAAGCTACATATAATTCAAAAAAGTATTCATATCTATTAAAGACGAGATATTTCAATAATGTTGATAGTGTAAACAACAGTTTGTAGTCCGAAAAAAATATCCAATTTAATGTATGTTTTCTTCTAAAATGCTGAAAATCAAAATAATTTTCAAAACATCAAGTAATCTATCAATATGATGTTGATGAATAAAATAGTTCATACGTATATAATGTTTTAATTAGAGTTTCTAGAAGATTTGCGAGCACACTTTTTTCAAGCATTAAATCGCTCATGAGTCAAGATTATTTGCAAAAATGTACGTTTCAATGAGCTATGAATGTCATGAAAAGAGTTCAGAATCATAGAAACATCCCTTAATGAAAATAGTGTATTGTAAATGTTTCAGATCTTTCGATTGCTTCTATACTAAAATACGGTTATGGTAGAAGCATGTTTTTCAAGCCGTTCATATACAGCGGTAAATATTGACGTTCTAATATCAGAATAAGTGCAATCATGAAATCTGAAACTTGTACAACAAGCTATTCTCGCTATGCAAAGTTGCAAGTTGAAATTCGCAACTCAATATCCCAGGTGTTCGTGAACGAGACCAAAATACGATAAAAACACATTATCTTCGCAGTAATAAGCTCTTAGGCCGAACTATTTTCAAAGTATCCATAGCTCATTAGAACCTACTTGATGCATCTAGTCTTAACTCAAAAGTGGTTTGATACTTACAAAAATTTTCTTGTTAGTTTAGCTATTGAACATCATCAACTGTTTTATATCGTTCATATAATAAAAGAATTCTCAAATTATATTTCATGAAAAAAAAAAAAAGAATTTCGTTAATGAATTCTTCCTAAACAATCACTCAATATTCATAACATTTTGCAAGGATTGAAGAATTTAGTTCAATCATTAAAACGTTATTTTATTGCATTTTCAATGCATGTTGCAATACTTGCATCGAATAGTAGTTCATACATGATGTTCTATTTGTTTAAATAGTCTTCTCGGAAATATACAAATAAGGCAATGTTTTTGTGTCAATAAATTGATATCAAATATCAACATGTATATTACTTTGTAATGTCAGCAAGAATACGTTAGTCTAATATCTCAATGTAAACTAAGAAAAATTGAATGTTTCGGCATAAAAAAATTAAAGAATCTTATATCTACATTCACATATGTTGTCTTCAATGACAATAATGACAAGAAAGTGAAAGCACCAAAAGCAAAATCTACAAATTCTATTGAGCAACTTTTATCGTTGCAAAAATCTATACGAAATAAACGTTCATTCAACTCAATGCACATTCTATGTAACATTTATTTAACAGTAAAAATTTTCTTATATAAATTTCTATTTTTTGATACTAATCATACAGTTCTAATTAGTAGGCTTTTTTTTTCGTTTTCAAGTATTAATACAGGTCTTTATGGTTAGGTCGAACCAAACGGTAATTTACCATGAATCATTTTACACTTTTTCTCCATCGGTAAGAGGTTTAATCAAATCTCTCGACTGATCATATCTGTCTTGAACCACTAAAGTAATGACGTATGGCGTCTATTTCACTATCATATCGATATTCACTGTCAAGTTTCATTTGTTTTATTTCTGTGATCGTATATTGGTAAACAGAAAACCTCGTAGGATCCCAAATGCTATATGAACTTTGTAAATTGATCAAGCCAATGTCGTACGTGTACCTTAGCAATTAACAATAAGCTTAATTTGCATTACACATTACATGTCCTTTAATATTACTTATTTAATTGTAAAAATATATTATATAATTATCGTAGTACATAAAGGTACGTCTTTGATATATTCCAATGTTAGACAAACTATTTGATTTGATTTTGATAACATATCTGCATATGTATATGGGTAGCTAAAATATATAGTGAATACGATAATAAAGCTCACGTAATAGAGTAGTATTATGCATATTTCTTCATGAAAATAGATTTCGACATCAGTAAAAAACACAAGATTAGCTTATGACGCAAAGTTCCTTGTTAATCCAGTTTTTGAGAAAAACATGCAAAACTTCAAATGAGAAGCTCCAGATCTGTTCGAAAGGAATCTTCATCTGAGCAGATTGGTTTATTAATGCTCGATAACCATCCTCAATTACAACTTTGGCCTACTAAATATCTTTCATGGTATGCAAATAAGATTGAGTTTTCTATTAGTTGTGCATATCGATGCATCTTCTTGAATTACAATATATGGATTTTTATTAACAAATTGCGTAGGATGTGAACTAACTTGTTTTGTTTGAAAAAACTTTTTAAACGCGTTAAAATATCGAGTTTTCAATCATTGTCTCCCTGAATAATAACAAAATGCATATCACTTGTTGTTATTTGAGAGTCGTTTTCCTTATAGTCGATAGCAATCTTTTTCTTTAATAAGTTTTATATAATTACTATAGTTCTATAATGCATGTTACAGTATAACTTGTTACATATGTTCTTCTCGTGTAAAAAAATGACTGGTCATCTTTTCTCAGGATTCTATTTGTTTGTTAATATGAAATAATTTGATATCCCTTACGATGCTTCTTTTTGTTGTTAAAAAATTTCTTTTCTGATCTTTCATGTTTTTGTAACAATATAGATAAGTAAAACAGGCAGAGCATTTCAAAAAGAAAACACTTAAGCAAAATGCTAACTGCAAAAAATGTAAATGAATAATTCTAAAATTTATAATTCAAGATATTTTTGTTACTTTCATTATCTTTTATTTTGTCTCTGTATTACCAATTGAATATAAGGATATGATGCTCTATTGACTGTATTATGTCTGCAAGGTTTAAAACTTTCACATGACATATCTAAATGAGAATATTGATAAAATCAATAATATCCGATACTTCTACGAAATATGTAACATCCTCACTGACATACAATATAAATGTCAGTTGATAGAATGTGCATGAAGATGAAGCCGATACATATCTTGTAGAAGTACTCAATACTTATTGCGATAATACAATCGTTCAA